TGGTGTGCATGCATAACTCACAGTGGAATACAGATGGGGACCTACATTTTGAAGAATTTCCAATTACAGGTAAATTATCTCCTCTTTAGGAAGCCTTCCTGAATGTGAAACTTCTTTTCAGTGAAGTAGGTTGGTAGTTCTGAGGAAGGCTGTAGTCTCAGGATTGATGAAGAAGCAGTTTACCTGGATAGTTCCTTGAGGTGAGATTTGGAAACTTCAATGGAAATTGAAAGGAAGGTTCACTTGTTGTTTACTTTAGCTTCAGCGTAGGCTTTGAGACATATGTTGTGTTCAGCCTTTGTTTTATATCACTGGCATTCGAGTTTCTGCCTTCTCTCCATCTGGCACAAAGGAAATCTATGTAGGGAATGGGGAGGAAGGGACTACTTAGGGGCCAGCATGCCCCTCGTTGAGAGAAACATCTGGTGAATCGGCACTGAATACTAAACTTCTTTTTGAGCAACATTTCTTATTCTTTTCTGAAAAAGGATAAAAATTTGGTTTAATATTATCCCTTCTGTACATTATTTTAATCTAACCTTGTTTGCTGTATACCACTTAACTTGGAACCAGTGATAGCTTTCATAAACAGTTTTACCATGATGTAAGTAAAGTGAGTATCACAGTAACAATATAAGAGTGATTTGTTTTGTAAATTACAGAAAAATATGTTCAGGTCTTCTTTAGTTACGTGAGCATGCAAAGATCATTTTGCTAGCCCATCACATTGACCGTGTCACCCCTTTCTTTGCATTGCTCCCCGACTCCCCCTTCTCTATCACATCAAACTTAAGCTACTTGTTTTCACTTCATGTCCTGTCCTTACCCTGATTCACTCTCTGCTATCCTCTCTGATTCGCTATCAAGAAGTTGATTCCCACCTCCAATTAGCCTATGATGCCAACCTCAATCTCCCAGTTGTTAAATTTCCAAACAAGCATCTTCGTGCTTTCTCCCACGCTGCTCCTCATATTTGGGAGATGCTCCCTGTAAACATCTGCAAAACTCGTTTATTATCCATCTTCAAAGCCCTTCTTAAAACTCCTTTTCCGTAATGCCTACAAAAAAGTGACAACAGTTAGGTCACTGGTGTGCTGAGACCACTGCCTATCATGTTCCCCAGTATTCTCATTATTCTCTTGTACTCCTCATCTATTCTCTTTTATGCTTAAATTGTACCATTCTCTGGGGTAGGAACTGTTACTTTTTTTCTGTTTTATAAAGCACCTAGCCCAAATGATGTCCTGGTCCATACTAGGGCCTCCAGATACTATAGTAATACAAATAATAATTAATATACATTTTACACTTCTAAAGGTTATATAGTTGTGGGGTTTTGGTGGGGGGTTATGTTGCACTAATACCAAACAGCAAAACTTTAAAACTTAGAGTGTAATCTTTGTTCCGTTTGGAAACAATAAGGTTGAGAAATACATGCATTACAAGTGATTTGAAAATAGTGTACTGAACAGGTGCAGTATTACATTTCCTTTATGAAATACATCTGAGATTTAGATGAACACATGGCAATAGAACAGCTGTGCAACTGGACCTTTATATAAAAGCATTACCTTTTCTTTTGTGTATAGTTAATGCTGATGCTATTCCTAATTCTCAGTTCAAATAATTTCATCACTACAACAAATAGAAATTCAGATAGGATTCTGCTAAGGCACCTTTCACTTTAGTAGTTTTTGTAGGAAAACATGCTTACTTTTCAGACTGTTTTTCTGACTCCCTCTGTGCATCTGGCAACTGTTGCCTTGCAACCTTAATGTAATGTATGAAGGCAATCTACTCTTCTTAAGTTAGGTTTCAGTGGTATTTTTAAAAAAGCTTCATCTGCCAGGTGAGTCAGTGGAACAAAAGCCTTCATTTACTTGCAACTCAGTAAAATGCTTTCTTCTTTGAGTGCTTGCTCCTGTTGATTCCATTCTGGGTGTGTGCGTGCCCACGTGCACAGTTGTCGGAGGCTTTTTTGCCTTAACGGTATCCGTAGGGTTGGCTTGCCTAAGAAGTGGCAAAAGAAGAATAGCCTCCCGGCTCCTGGCCAATGTCAGGCCATGTGCCCTTCATGGGTGTACCACGGAGGTTGGACCCCCCAGCTCGACCAGGGCCCTCATTGCCCAAAGTGACCCCGGCGGCTAAAGAGCAAGTAGGCCGACTGGCACCGCAGACGCTGCACCAGGCGGCAGACTCAGCTAAGACTCCAATATCTAAGGGCAAGCCGATAGTGGGACCACCTCATAGGGTGGTGGAGCACCCTCGATCACCAGATCACAGGTGCAGATCTCCATCTCCGCGGCTTCGGACTCCGGCACCGTATCCTAGGTTGCCGACTAGAAGGCCCAGGTCCTCAACGCGCTCTCCACCTACAAGACATGGGACACCAGAGTCGAAGCACCGGAGTCCTGTACCACCAGTACTGGCGAGCTTCCCATCATAGATCGCCACGGCCCAACTCACCTTCGCCCAGACAGTCTCCCAGATGTTGGTCCCCGCCCAGGCAGGGCTGCTCCTCGACACGGCACCAGTCCCTTTGCCCTGGTACCGTTCGTTGGGAAGGTGCTGTTCCTCACCCTCACCTCACCGGTTGCTGACCAGAGTCAGTCGGCAGACTCAGGCTCCACCCTGGTCACCAGAAGGGCAGTGGTCCGAGTCGAACTGGGAGTTCAGCTCCTCGCCAAGAAGGGGTTATGCGCTGCTGACTCATGAGACCGGCACGGCACCTGCAACGACAACGTGCAGCAGGGGCAGAGGCCTGCTCAATGGCTGTATTGGAACCCGTCGGGCATGCCAGTAATGCCGGTCCCATGTTCCCACCAGCCCTCCCTGGCCACCTCGGACCAACCGGCCCTGGCTCCCTCAGCACTGGAATCAGAATGCAGTGCCGAATCCGATGTGGGGGCAGCATGCTGAACCCCAGCACCTAAAGAGCCGTCCCTGGAGAGGGATGGGGAGCCTGCTCTTCCACAAGTGGTGCAGCTGTTGTCGTTGTCCCCAGATGAAGCGGGGGCGGATCCCTCCCAAACGGACAGTCCCCCCGACAACTTCGAGGAGCACCAGGCCCCCCTTAAAAGGGTGGCTGCTAACTTTAACCTACAAATTGAGGAGGTCGTGGAGGAGTCCAATGACCTCTTCAATGTTATATCCTCCTCCACCCCAGCCCGGTTCATGCTGCCTGTCCACGTAGGGGTCCTTAAAATTGCCAAATCGCTGTGGCAAACCCCCTCTTCCATTCCACCAACTTCTTAGAAGGCGGAAAAGAAGTATTACATCCCTGCAAAAGGGTTCAAATACCTCCTACACGCACTCCCCAGCGGCATCACTGGTCATGTCTGCTGTGAATGAAGAGGGCCAGGACATATACTTACCTGTCTTCTTCCCAAAGGCCTCATACGTCAGATGAAGAATGCAGATTGGACGCCCTGGACATCAGGAGGGCACTGGCCTTTTACATAGACAGGACAAAGGCATTCCATAAGTTGACGCAGTTGTTCGTTGCAGTGGCAGACCGAATGAAAGGTCTCCCTGTGTCTGCTCAAAGGATTTTGTCCTGGATCGCGGCCTATATCCACTACCGCTATGAGCTGGCAATAGTGCCTCCGCCGGCAATCGTGACGGCACACTCAACTAGGGCACAAGTGTCATCAGTGGCCTTCCTGGCGCAGGTACCAATCCAAGAGATCTGATGCCTAACCATGTGTTCACATCTCATTACGCACTTACCCAGCAAGCTTGTGACGATGCTGGCTGTGGTAGAGCAGTGCTGCAAGCTGCGTGACCATGAACTCTGAGCCCACCTCCATGGACACTGCTTGTGAGTCACCTAGAATGGTATTGACATGAGCAAGCACTCGAAGAAAAAATGGTTACCTACCTTTCTTCGAGATGTGTTTCTCATGTCCATTCCATTATGCAGCCTCCTGCCCTTCTGTTGGAGTTGCCGGCAAGAAGGAACTGAGAGGGCACAGAGCTGGTGGCACCTAATATACCAACGCATGAGCGCGGCACTCCAGGGAGCGCCACAGCTGATCCTACGGATACCACTAAGGCAAAAATCTCAAATGACCGTGCAGATGGGTACGCGCACACCTAGAATGGAATGGACATGAGCAACACATCTCGAAGAACAACAGTTACAAAAGGTAGGTAACTGTTTTATCCTCCCTTTAAAGCTACTGAGGATTCTTGTGTTTGTATTCCTGTGTTTGCTAGGACCAGGGCTACTTTCAGTAATTTCAGACAGCTATAGGAGATACTGATGCAAAAATGCTTATTATTTATTGTAAATTCTAATTTTAGGTTATTACAAGATTGCCTTTTCTGAATTCAAGGAGTAAATTAAACTTACAAATTATTTTCATACACATACTGCTTGAAGAATATGATGGATGATATACTTCAGTTATTGGTTATTTGTTTAATTAAATGAAATGTTCAAACTAATTAAAGAAATCCCTATGAAATTTCTACTTTTTGTCAAGTAGTGACAAACACCAAAAGTGTCAAAGGATGACCTTTTTTCTCCCTCTTCCCCCTCCCCCCAATAAAACCGCTAAGTATGTTTGCTTGAATTCAATTTTCATATTCTGAGCACTAATTTAAGGGTTGAGACCAAAGTACCACCTTTTATAGCTGCAGCCTCTCTACCACAGAGCACATGTTTGAAGGCATGTAGCAGTGCTAACTGACTTTAACTATTCTAGGCCAAAACAAGATGGCACTCCTCCAAGTGTGAATCCTCTGCGTCTTTGAAGCCAATATGCTCTGAGAACTCAATTTACAGCTAACCTAGAATTTACTGGTTGGGCAGAACTTTGAATTGTGAGATGTAGAAGTTGTTATAAATTATAATGTTTAATCCAATTACTTTATTAGAATTCCTACTTGATTAGAAGTACAAAACTGATAATGGTGATTTGAAGAATATTTGTCAAATAAGTTTTAATAAAGAGTATCAATTTATGAACAATTTCTTTTCTTCTCCTTTGTAACAGGCCAGAAACTCAGAAGTTCGATCAAATGCAGCATTATTGTTTGTTGAAGCATTTCCTATTCGTGATCCCCATTTTAATAATGAGGATATGGATAATGAAATTCAGAAACAGTTTGAAGAACTTTTCGTAAGTTTTCATTAAGACAACGTGAAAACAAAATGTTAAGTTAAATATTTGGCAAAATTTACTTGGCAGTAAGACCATTTGAAATGCATGTACTGCAATTAATGGCGTAAGGGGATTGAGAATGTTACCCACAGGAAAGAGTGCAGAAATATGCAATTAAATTCCTTTAATCTTGTGCACTCTCTGATTTCTGGTGGAATAGCAACGTTTTGGAAAGGGGCCTAAATGCTAATGAAGTGGGGGGTCTGGGTTTACCTTCATTGAGCTACAAGTATGGTTAAAAAAACTGAGAGCGCGCTTAGGAAAGCCAGATGACACTGGTTACATACATTCATGTCCTATTTACTTAGGATACAATGGGTGAGAAGGGCTCTACACTTGATTACTTGACTTTGTGGTTCTACAATGAATGCCTAATATTAAATATCTGCAGCTCCTATGATGGAGTATCTAAACAGAAGTATGAGGGAGTTAAGAATTAAAATAATGAATTAGAAACATGAGGGCTGGCCAGTTTATTCCTAAAGCAGTGTTTTATTCTGTTTGGGAAAACTTATTGTTGTATTCACAAGAATAAATATTTGATCACTGAAGATTCCTGGAAATTCCAGGTTTTAAGGTCATTCCCTCTCAAACAGTGAACAGTGAGACTTGACAATTAGGTGCATAAAGATGAACCTTAGGAGTGAGATTTTCAATTGTTTAAGTGACTTTCATGCACAAGTCTCATTGACTTTCACTTTTGAAAATTCTACTCTAAGAGCCTAACTTTAGGGTGATGTTTTTGAGAATCATCGCCAATATTTTTATCTTACTTTTGTTTTCTAACTAAAAATTATTTAATAATAGCAATAAACACTCATTTGGAGAATATTCCAGATATGGAAATATTTCATACTATCACATCTTGTATGGTTTGGTTAAATGCTAATAGCGATGATTTTTTTCTTATTTTAAATATCAACAGACAGCATGACGATGCATACATGAAATTTGTTTCCTCTTCTTCTTTGTTTATAGAGTCTTTTAGAAGATCCTCAACCATTGGTCCGCTCTACAGGGGTACTTGGTGTTAGTAAAATAACATCCAAATACTGGGACATGATTCCTGCAACCATCCTTGCTGAGCTTTTAAAAAAACTAATTGGAGATCTGGCTTTTGATGTAACTTCAGCTGATGTTCGTTGTTCTGTTTTTAAGGTAAGTTTAATATGCAGACTTTAAAAACTTGTATTGATAGTAAATTTTTAGGTTTTCCTTGAAGCATGTGACGGAGGTTATTAAGGGTCAACTTCAGTAGAAGGCGTGCTTTTTATAAAACCTTTTGATTTTTCTCCGAGTTGGTCTTTGCATAATTTCCTTTGAGATGTACTTCCTGGTATTTAAGTTTTGCAAACCTTCTAGAAAAAATGCCTTCTGGGAATGAACAAGCAACCCCTTGTGGCACCAAACATTTAGAGCTGAGTTTGAGTAGCTGTGTGATCCCTGACCACCTCAATTCCTCTCTCTGGCTATCTGAAGGTGGAAAGACCTCCTCTTCATGCTCTTGGTTTAGTATTTTGACCAGACTTTCTTGTTCAGATAATTGTAAATCACTAAAACTTTATACTTAATCACACAACTGTGTAGAAAATGTTTCCAGCTTGGTTCCAAGGCATCATATGTGACCCAGAGAGAGAGAGACCTGGAAAAAAAAGACTGCGTTTAAGTGTTGTGTTTTGTACCCCATGGTCAGTCTTCCCATGGTTGGATGCATATATTACTGTCTGTGTGTAGGGAAAGGCTGTTCCCCAGATAGTTGTTCAGTATACCAGGATTGATTGGTCAACTCCATCTAACAAATGTCAGAAAGACTGACTTCCTGGGCATAAACATGTATTCCTCAAGTACAAGAGATGAACGAAAACACTGCCTCAGGTCAGAAGATCTTACCATGTAAAACCACTTCATCTGAAATGAAAGGCATTAATAAGAGATTTTGAGTTGCTCTTTAATACTTTTCTTTTAAAAGATAATTATAGAAAAAAATATGTAAATGAAACATCTGCCACTATATTTAGCCTTAAGTTTAGTAATTTTAATAATTTTAGTATAGTATTTGTATGTCTGCTATTTTTATGGTTTTTTTTATTCAGTGTGATATTTCTGTTGCAGTGTCTGCCTATAATTTTGGACAACAAACTAAGCCACCCATTATTGGAACAGCTCCTGCCAACAGTAAAATACAGTCTCCATGACAATTCTGAGAAAGTGCGAGTGGCGTTTGTTGATATGCTGCTGAAAATTAAGGCTGTCAGGGCTGCTAAGGTAGGATGATTAGGTCTTGGTAGGCAGCACACGGGAGATGTAAACAGAACAAGGCAATTTATTCTGAAAGATGTATATTTATCAATACCACAGTCAATCAGTTATTAGAATACTTAACCAATAATTTGCAGAGACTTGCAGGAAATTTTTATTGGTCATGTATGTCTCATTAAAGGTTTGAGATGTAAAATCCTGGATAGTGGTATTAAAGCATTTCCTGCTATATATTTGAAAATTAAGTTAATGTTATGGTTGTCTAGATTCTTAAGTACTATGAGACTAAATCTAGTGTCCTGTAATCTTCCTGCCTCTCCATGATTGTTTCAATGGAAACGGGGGCATCACTAGGAAATACTGCCACGTCAGGAGATTAATGCATCAGAATTTTTGTTACCTCAAATGAGGATCAAACTTTCCATATAACAAGTTCATCTTTTCCTCTTAGATTCTTAGAAACGTTAGTGTATTCTTGATTAGTACCTCTCAGTTCCTTTTTTACTAACAAGAAGAGTTTCAGCTCTTGCCTTTTTCTGTTGGGCCAGTAGCTACTTAAGAAAAAGAGAGGATACGGAATCAGCCCTCTGGGACCAGAACTGGCAGAAGTAAAAACAGAAGCTGCTTATGGGGCAGAGCCACTACTGGAGAAAGAATGTCCATGAGATCAGAGAAGAAGGGAAACAAGTCACAGAGAATAATGTATAAGGAAACATGGAGGGGAGAGAAATGAAAGAGATGGGATGGGGAGATGAAATAAAATTATCCTTTTTTAAAGAAAAGGTAAAGCAGTTCAATAGTTGCTACAGTGAGGCTGCAGAGTTCCAAATAGAGGAGGTGGTCACCTCTGAGATAGACCCAGGCTTCACAAGCTTTTTCAGAGTGGGATCTAACGAAAATACTGATGCCAAAGCAGGATTTCCTGATAGTTCTCTGTTCAGTAAAGCTAGCATGGAGTGGCAGAAAGATCACTGTGATGCTAATGCTTGTGCTGATACTGCAAGTTAAGCCTCAATGCAAATCTTACCCATCTGACACAAACTGATTACAATATTAGTGCTTTAGCACTGGTGTCTTGGAAGTTTGTGCATGTCTCATTACTCTAATGCTAGTCTCAGAGGACGTAATTCTAGATTTGTTTGCAAATCTCATCTATCAAAATGCTTTTCATATTTTAAATTTTAATAAGATTTTGAGATTTGAAAAGGCAGCAAATTTCAAATTTCATGTCAACATGTATCTTGAGCCAAGAGCAGCAATTTCTGGGAATGGGGCTGTATTATTTTAGTTTCCAATATGAAAATCCACAGTGGTCATGCACTGGCACATACTTTAGGTTTATCAAGAGGTATGAGGTTCAGCCATCCTAAAAATGCACCAATATCCTGTAGTACAAGTGTCCATGCTGACATGGTTATTGCTATTAGAGTATGAATCGTTCATTTTATTACAGGTTTCAGTGTAGCCATGTTAGTCTGTATCAGCAAAAAAAACTGAGGAGTCCTTGTGGCACCTTAGAGACGAACAAATTTATTTGGGCATAAGCTTTTTTGGGTTAGAACCCACTTCATCAGATGTATGAAGTGAAAAATACAGGAGCAGGTATAAATACATGAAAGGATGGGGGCTCATAGCACTGCCTATTATTAAAGTTGCCTATTAAGAATGTGCTGCAGCCCAGAACTTCAGCTGATTGAGCAGGACTTCCCCTGCAATTGCAGTTCCTGGTTGCTCCAGGCTGTGCCAGATCCAGGCGCTGGAACTGAGAATTGGGAGCCTGTCTGATCTATAGGTGTTATGTTGGCACATGATAGAATTTGTTCGGGTGTTTTTAGGTTTTTTGTGTGCAACTTCCTAGCCTTATTAAAAAAGCAATATTAAAAGAACATTATTAAGTGAAACACACTAGGAAATGCCAGAATTAAGCTTGCCTGTGCATTATATCGGTCCTTAATTACATGTTCACTTTTTTTTCCTCCACCGGATCAGTCAAGTTGTGTAGTAAAACAGGCTGTTGTCTGTAGGACTCCTGCCTCATTTGTTGCAGAAGATGGAGGGTGTGTGGTGAATGAGGCAGGGCATTTCAGAAAGAGAAAGTTGGTCTCGCAGATGAGGCAGCTGATGAATGCTGGAGAATTGGGTTCTATTCAGGCTTTTGCCACAGAGTTCATATATGATGGTAGGAAGTCACTTAACCAAATTTTTCAGAGATAGCCACTAATAATTGTGTTCCTCATTTTCTGGGTGCCTGTCTTGAGACCCTGGGGTATCACTTGCAGAAGTACTGAACACTCAGAGCTCCTATTGACTTCAACTGAAGTCATGCTTTGAACATAATAATTGCTGTATTATGCTACGTATTCTCAAAAAATCAAGTCCTAAGTTTTTCAAATTGAGCACAGAAAATTAGTGGGTACTTTTGACCTTAATCTCTCTCTGCTTCAGTTCCCCATCTATACAATGTGGATGATCCTACCCTCTCATTTAAGAGGGATAGTGTGAAAATAGAATATTAATGTTTGTGAAGAAATACTGTAATGAGTGCCATAGAAAAAGTCTGAGGAGATCAATAATTCTGCCTTCTGGGCAGGGTTTGAATAGTGTGTGGTAAGTAAAGCCTGGAACCACATATTTAGAGCCTCGTATTTTTCGCAAATGCGAAATAACACAAAATAAAACACCATAAAACTAAAAAAAACCTGGTGCATGGGGTCACAGTGCTGCTTAGGTTTAGCCTGGCCACTCCTCCGTCATGATAACAGAGGGGCAACTGGGCCAAAACTGAGCAGTGCTGCAACTTCATGTGCCAGGGCACTACATGCAGAGCCACTGCTGCAGGGTGAATGCAGGGTGGTCTCACTCTCCAGCACTGTCCCTTAGGACCTTCCTTCTTCACTAGACTGAAGCAGGCTTGCTCTCCATGCCCTTTTCCCTCCCTGGGAATTTTTCTGCAATGTTCGTTTTATTTTGTTTTATCCCCCTCCCAGGAGATTAAAAAAAAATTTCTGAAAAATTATTGAAAAGAAAAAAGAATTTCACAGGGCTCTACACATACTGAACAATGAGGAGAAAACAAAATATCAAATAATTACTCACTAAGTGAGCACCGTCCATCCTGTGCACAGATGGAGACAAGGTGCTGTAGAAAAAATAGTATGTTATTTGTAATTAAAGACTGTGCCATAGTGCACAGGCAACCTTAATTCTGTCATTTACTAACTTTTGAGTGCTTGACTTAGCAAGCATAATGGTCTTTTAATGTAGCCTTTTCTGTTTAATTAAAATAACTTAAGTAAAGTTTATGCAACTAATTTTTCCACTAGGAAAAAGTAGTCTCCAGTAGATTGATAACAGAAAAAGGGTTTCCCCTAGTAACATAATTGTATTAATTTTTATAGCTTTCTCATTTTTTTAAAGTTCACTGCCAGCCCTCCTTTCATCAGTAGTTTGTAACTCACAGCCATTTTTGCACTTTGTCTTTATTAGTGGGTGGTGAGGGGAGAGGTTTCCAACTATATGCTATTTCATTTTGACCCAAACCAAGTTTTTTAAGACTTTTTGGTTTGTCACTTTTTTTTTTAAATTAGTTTTCAATTTGATCTGAAATGAAACCTGAAGTTGTTGCCTTTAGACAAATTCTAAAGATGAATGCAAAGCATTCAAATCACTGCATACTTTTGTTCTTCTATTTGTGAAATAATTTGATTCCATGATTACACACTACCCTAATGCACAGGCAAAAAGAAAAGAATTAAGGTTGTACATGGAACCGTAGCTGTTGCATTTCTGATCTGAGTGCCCATTCAATGTTTTCTGTGTGGAAATTGAAGTAGTAGAATTCCTAGGTATTCACATTCAATTAATTACTTAGGCCTTAATGAATGGTATAGCCATATTGCAGTGGGTAATTGCAAAGATCCGCAGTCCTCATTGTGGAAGATCATTGGCAATATGCGGTTGTTTTCATGGCCACTGAATACTGTGTTTTGTGACTGTTTTCCAGATGTATTAATTTACACTTTCTCAAGTTAAATCTCATTTTACTTTCTGGTCTTGTTACTAGTTTTTCTAGGCTCTCCTAATATTATGTAAAACATACAAGGTTCATGGAAGTATTATATGAAAGTACCATGCAAATATCCATGAGAAGAGTCTCTTGTAAGGGGGGGGGTGGGGCAACAACCCTATCCTCCATTCCTATTGTTCTCTGTACATAGTGCAGACACCTACTTTTATTGTAGGTTAGATTAGGCTTTATTTTGTTTAGTATAAAAAGATTTGCGAGGGAAAGAAACCGCCATGTAATACTAAATTCTTATTGGAATATTATGATTTAGGTTTCTGGAAATGTTCCCTGTGTGGTCTGAGTATTTATTTAAAAAAAAATTGATACAGTGATTAAGTTTGCATGTAGAGTTGTATTGTTTGAAGTATTCTAAAATTTTAAGCAGAGATGAACTATAGCAGTAGATTGCTATTAGTTTTATTTCCAGTAGGTTGAGTTAATTAAGCTGCCTCTCCATTGACATGGTGGCTTCCTGAGCTTGAAATGTTGTGTAAAATGTTTTTCCAAAAGGGAATGTGTAATCCTGCTTTTCACATCAGACCAATGTGAGCTAAGCTTTCTCACTCTGCATGTGCACTAAATTTAATTTTTTTCCAAAATCTATTTACGTGCCTTTGTTTGGTTAAAATAGATGGATGTGGTGGTGTTATTTTAAAACAGACTATTTAATATTGATACTCTTACATGTTTTGTCATTAGTTACATTTCTTCTTTGAGAGATTGCACATGTCCATTCTACTCTTAATATTCGTGCTCATAGTCGTCAGAAAATTTTCACTCAGTGGTACCCATCGGGTGGCTTGAGCATCCTTTGCTGCCACATGGTGGTATAAAGGGCCCAGCTGCCCCCAAGCTTCATCAGTTCCTTCAGCTTGTGAGTCATTGGAATCGCTTGTCTTGTCTTAGCCAGTGCTCTGTGTGTTCATTGTAAATTAATTGT